CTTCGGGATGAGCATCTGCTAGGAACGTGCATCACTGGGTACAATTCTGTGATGAAAGTTTCCGTGTGAAAAATCGTCACTGTTTTATTGTAGGCCATTCTGCACCCGCCGGATTGTTTTATTCCTCATCCACGCTTGGGAAATGAGAGGCTGCGTTTTGAAACGCTGCGGAAATGTACATTTCCGTGTGCATATTGGGCTTGGCCTGAAGGGAAATTGGAAGGCATTCAAAAGGCGGGAGTGTCTGCCCGAAAACGGGAAACACCTTCGAATGAAGGCGTTCAGACTCAGCTGGGCTCGCATGGCAGCATGTGGGGTAAAACAGTGTTGAATGAGAGGGCATCGATTAGTCATGTTTTTCCTGCCAACATATTTGCCACGATAACTGGCCCATTGATGAAATCTTCCTTCTAGTGATAGGGGGCAGGGAAGAGATGTTTGTTCTTTCAGAAAAATGTGGAAAGCGAACCCTCTGTTGCTAGCTGTCATACAACCCACTGAGCAGTTGAGCCTACGGTGGTTTGGTTAGTGTCGGCAACTTTCTCTGTACCCACATTTCAGATAAATCGGAGGCCTGAGGCCTTCTTCAGATGACCCAGGTGGCTCAAGAAACCTCAGCTGGCTTGCAGCAAGTCCCATTTAAGATATAAATAATCTCCAGCATTCAGTAGACATTGGGATAGCTACTTAGACCAAGTCTTCAGTCTGAGGAAGATCAGCACTGCCGCGATCAATCTTTCAGAAGTCAATTTAGAAGGTCTAGTTAAGACCCACTAAATTGAACTCAGAGGGTGCTCCCGGTACTCCTGCTTCTGTGAGGAATAAGAGAAGCTGATGGGAGTGTTTGCACCCATCGGCCTCCCACTGTGGGGAAGGCAGGGAAACTCGAAGGTACGTTGACTCTAGCTACGGTCATTAACATGGCTCGAGTTGCGTATCTTGATTTGACCGTCCCTTTTGGTGTAGACCTGGCCTTAGTTCTTTGGGGGCAGGGGCCATCTTTTGGTTCTGTGTGTGTCCAGCAGGGCTCTGAGGACCTACTCTAATACCAGACAGGCAGAGGTCTCTGAACGGCGGTGCATTAAGGAATGATAGTTGAGGGCTGTGGTTTAAGTACAGGGCTTTTGGATTTTACATTATTAAATAGATCAAAGGGGATTCCCTCCAGGGGCATTTCCCCTGAGTTGGTCTTTGATGTTATACACACAGTAACCCATGCCCAGCCCCACATGCGCTGTTTTCCTTCTCCTTTCACTGATGCTGTTGTGCACCCACGCTCTCCACCAATGCCCATGCTCAGTAGAAGGAGAGGGAAGCAGCTAGGACCCTGTCCATGCTTGTCCTGAAACCACATTAGTCAATCCATATTTCAACACAGCCTGGCTTAGCCGAGTGCTAACAAAGGGAATCCATGGGAGTTTTGTCATTCGTTACAGTCAGAAAGGGATCAAGTGCACAGTTGTTCCTTGTCTGGTGTGACCAGACGTCAGCCAAGGTAGATGTTGTTTCACCAAACCATCCGAACAGCCTGAATCACAGCTTCCAAGCACCTTCCCTGCATTGTGAGACTGACCCTCACAACATAAACCCCCCCCCCCGTACCGCAACCCCCTTCAAATAAACCGGAGCCTGAAACGATCAGATCAAACTGTAACCCACACCGAGTTGAACACCCCCAAAAGGAGCAGTGCCACAGACTCTGTGAAATGCACAAGGGCCTTTGCTGTAGCTGTTGGCTATTGCTGTTGGCACTCAGATGCTGCCCAGATCGAGGGCATCACATGGCTCATCTCTCGCTGCTCTAGCCAGGGATCCTGGGTTAACACTGCATTAGAAAGACCTCCTACAACTCTTGCTATTATGGGTTCAGTAACACGTCCAGAGGGTCTAGACCAGCGGTTTTCAAGCTTTTTTTCTCATGACCCAGTTGAAGAAAATTGTTGATGCCCACAACCCAATATAATGTGACCAGACTGGGCTCCAGGGTGGGGCTGCGGAGGAGCTTTGGGGTGTAGGACGGGGCTCCGGCTTTGGGGGAGGATCAAGGCTGTGGTGGGAGGGGCTTACCTCGAGTGGCTTCCAGTCAGGGGTTCAGCGAGGGCACTGAGGCAGCTTCCTGCCTCTCCTGGCGACGCAGACCAGGCTGCCCCCAGAAGCAGCCGCAGCAGGCTCCCAGCTAATGGGAGTGTGGAGCTAGCGCTCAGGGCAGGGGCAGTGTGGGGAGCCCTGTGCGCTCTCACCACCTGAGAGCCGAGCTTGCTGCCGGCCGCTTCTGGGGTGCAGCGCAGTCTGCGAGGCCAAGCCAGGCAGGGAGCTGCCTTAGCCCCCCCACTGCTCACCTGATCCCCCTGCAGCCACGAGACCCGGTGCCCAACATTCCACCCCCCAGTATAAGGCCACAATCCCTAGTTCAAAAACCACTGGTCTAGACCAGTGATGGGCAACCGAGGGTGGTCAGCGGGCCACCTAAGTGGCCCTCCTCCATCTCAGTGGGCCACAAGATTGTCGTAACCAACCCGGTTTGCTCACTGCGCTGGCGGCCCTAGAATTTGCGGGGGGTACCGATTGAACCGTAGCAGCGCTGGGATTGGCTGCAGAGGGAGCACACGGCTCTCAGTCAATATTGTGGGCAACCGCCACGCATCTCGCTTCACGCGCCTTTGCTTTACGTGTGTGTCACGTTAGTCACGCTGGTAGGAAAAACCCTACATCCAGCAGAATCTGGCTTCCCTGCGCAGTGGCAAACAAAAAGTCTCACGGGCCACGTAGAGAACCTGTCGGCTGCAGGTTGCCCACCACTGGTCTAGACAGTTTAAAATAGGAACAGGTCCTAGTTGGTACCTCGCAGGATGGATTGTATATGGTGCAGACAGAAATCTCCCCTCCCATGGGTGTCCCCCGTATGGTATAGGCAGGAATAGCTGTTCTGGCCTCCAGACAGTCCCAATGCAGAGTCCTGGTAGAAATGCAGCCGTGTTAGTCTGGTGTAGCTGAAACAAAAAACAAGACTATGTAGCATTTTAAAGACTAACAAGATGGTTTATTACGTGATGAGCTTTCGTGGGCCAGACCCACTTCCTCAGATCAAATAGTGGAAGAAAATTTGGCACAACCATATACTGGCAGTCCCCGAGTTACGCGGATCCGACTTATGTCGGATCCGCAGTTACGAACGGGGCCCTCCCTCTCCCTGGTCTCCGGCAGACCAGGGAGAGGAAGCAAAGCGGCGGAACACGAGGGCAGCGGACAGCCCAGACGCGTCTAGCATGTCCCCAACAAGATTGTCAGCACAAAGTGATGGCATTTGGAGTCTGTGAGAAAGATTCAAGCTCACTTAAAGCCCCTTAAGCTCATTGCAAGCCTGCACTGTGAGAGTACAGGCAGTCCCCGGGTTACGTACAAGATAGGGACTGTAGGTTTGTTCTTAAGTTGAATCTGTATGTAAGTCGGAACTGGTGTCCAGACTGATCAGTTTCAGCAGCGGCTGAATCTGGACGCCAGTTCCGACTTACATACAGATTCAACTTAAGAACAAACCTACAGTCCCTATCTTGTACGTAACCCGGGGACTGCCTGTATACCAATGGATACAATCAAAAAATGAACACATATGAAAAGGACAAATCAAATTTCAGAACAAAAGGGGCGGGGGCGGGGGTGAGTCCTGGGTGAGTCTCTTTGCCAGGTGAATTCCTTTCTGTTCTCTCCCCCTGGAGGCTGTTAGCAGGGGCTGTAGCTGGACAGGGAGTGGAGGAAGCATCACAGAATGTGTGGAATTTAGCACCGGTCTTGAGTCATCAATAGAATCCCATTCAGGGCTTTGTCAGCTCATCCTCCCAAAACCCACAAGGGATGAAGGTAGTGAATAAGAGAACTAGTACAGGCCCAGGCAGAGGAGTGGACTTAACCCTTTCCTCACCGGGCAATGGGGAATCCAGGCACCCAGCAATAACCAGGTCTTCCTCTTCACTTTCCCCTCCAGAATGCAGCTTTCTTGTCTCTTTGTTCCCTTAGGGCACTTAGGGTACATCTAGACTACAGGCTTTTGTCGACAGAGGCTTTGTTGACAGGTACCATCGACAAAGCTTCTATCGACAAAGAGCGTCTAGGCTACATCCAGTTCTGTCGACAAAGCAAGCCGCTTTGTCGACATGAGAGTGTAGACGCAAAGGACAGTGTAGATGCAATAACGCCTTCTGTCGACAGAACTCTGTCGACAAAAGGCATTATTCCTCGTAGACTGAGGTTTACCACTGTCGACAAACCTGCCGAGCTCTGTCGACGTTATGTCTATAGAACTCGGCGGTAGTGTAGATGCAGGTATAGTTTTGTCAACAAAAGTCCACTTTTGTCAACAAAAGCCTGTAGTCTAGACACACCCTTAGGGTACGTCTAGACTACAGGCTTTTGTTGACAGAGGCTTTGTCAACAGATACTGTCGACAAAGCTTCTGTTGACAAAGAGCGTCTAGACTACATCCAGTTCTGTTGACAAAGCAAGTCGCTTTGTCGACATGAGAGTGTAGACGCAAAGGACAGTGTAGATGCAATAACACCTTCTGTCGACATTATGGCGACAGAACTCGGTGGTAGTGTAGACGCAGGTATAGTTTTGTTGACAAAAGTCCACTTTTGTCGACAACACCCTGTAGTCTAGACACACCCTTAGAGTCCCGGCCCGTCACCATGGTCCTTTGCCTTATATCAACAACTCACATTGGCCCAGGTCATGCCTCAAAGATCTGCTCATGGAAGTCTCGCGATGGAGGGGGGACGGAGATGAGGGGGGATTGCGCAAAGGGATCCTGGAAGAGCCTGCCTCCCTCAAGCCCACCACTTACGTTATTTGAATGAGAGGGGACCATCTGGGTCAGTAGAATTTCTCCTCAAAGGAAGGGTGCAGCATTAGTAGCACAGAAATGCCGCACGCGCTCAGACCAGAGCGGGCCCGTATTGGTCAACCCGCTCACACCTGTCGTGCTTTCCATTTTGTTCCCTCAGGTTCCTTGTCTTTGAAGCTGCCTCATCCCCCCAAAAGCTTCCTCCCTGACATTTCCTCAGTCTGGTCTTCCCCTCTCCTACTGTAGGAGACCCGGGAACTGCTGTGAAAGACAAAGATCCAAATGGTTTTCAGGAGCACTGCTAAAGACGTGTGATTCCTCCTTGGAAGGAGAAGCTGCCCCTGTTCTCCAGAACATCTGTACCCCAGAAAGCTCCCAGCTCAGGGCGAAGAACAGCTCGAGTCACCGGGACGTTCTCCCCTGTGACGGTGGATGACTCGATAGAGGTGTCCCAGTGCCCCCTGCGTACGAACAATAGACTGAGCGGTGAAACTCGTGGAAGGCCATGAAGCACTAAACCCTGCCCAACGAGCCTGCAGAACGAGCGCACAATGCTTAAAGCTACATTACTGCAGCCTTGTCTCCAACCTCAGCCTAGCCGCGTCGGGTCCAGTGACAGGAGCCACTGTGCTTATGGCTTTGGGACCCTAAAGGTGGACCCAGCAGAGAGCTATGGCCGCTTGGTTCTGCAGCAGGAGGAAGAGAAGGAAGAGCACCAAAGGCGCCAGCCGACTGGAGCCCTTTACCCTTTTAACCCGAAGGAGCGGGAGGAAAAGACTGAATTGTCGGGAGGAAAATGGAGAGAGCGTCTCCAGCAGGAGAGCTGGAATATCAACGGAGACGTGCTGGCGCCCAGATTCAACAGCTCTGGCGTGGCATCCACTGGTGGGTACCCGGCTACCAGAAAGGCCCTGAGGTCTGCTCCAGAGCTGCTTCCTTCTGCGGCAAGCGCTGACCCCAGCCACGAATGGAAAGTGGTGAAGGTGAAACGAGTCCTCATTTCCCCTGCCGGCCAGCCACGGAAAGCAAGTAAGCAAAGCGTCTTCTCGCCCCTATCCCACGCCGCTCTGCTCTGCTCTGTGTCACTCAGGCTAAGCACAATAACTCGGGGCCTAACGTGGTATCTACCATAAGTAGAGTGATTTCCACACCTCCTCCAAGGAGAACTCCTGGCCTGCCTGCCCAGACAGACACAGGAAACCCCCCAACCTCCCTAATTGTCTCCCCAGGGGAAAACCCCATGTCATCTTCCCAGTGCCTGGCATTTAGTGATTACCACACAGAGAGAACAGATGGAAATCCCAAATCTTTCCAAGTGCAGGGGTGGGGGGGGTGTGATTTACAGGAAGCTTCCATCTCATGTTCCCTGATTAAAGGCCCGGCTGATGGATAGAGCTGCTGGAGTTTCTTGTGTCCTTTTCTGTCCAAGTGTGTGTGAATTCAGCGAGAGATGCCACTGGGTTACCCTCGCTCGGCCACTGCACCCCTCCCCTTAGCCACAGAGCAGACATGCCTCATCGTGGCCTTGTGGGAGGGAGGATGGCTTGTTCTCCTTGGCTTAGTGAGGCTGTGGGTCCTTTGCTGAAGGTACCAGGAAGAAGGCTGGCTCTGGCGGCTTTGTTTTTTTGTGATGCTGTCACCTGTCTGCTTGTAGCAAAGTGGCATGGCCTGTTCATTTCATCCCAGCCCCTGATCAGCTGTCGGAGAATAACTTGTGGTCACAACCCATCCTGGGTTCTGTTTGAGCCCACAAGCTAATGGCTCCATCCCCTTTGGCCAGCTATTCCCATGTATTTCCAGCTGTCATTTAAAAATCAGGTTCTTTATTTTAATTTCCTAATTTCCGACATTTCACTTCCTTCCACGCTCATTCAGCCAGGCTCACCTTTGCGTGGCTCTAACAGTCTTTCCTTTCTGGCTCTAATGACCCTTTGAACCACCATTTCAAAATGCAGCCATTTGCCAGGGTTACAACCACCGCCCGTCTGCCCACAACACCTCCACCCTTGCATTCTAGCTGTAGCTACATTTAGAAGCCTGTGGTAAACCAGTGTTCCCTGTGAGCTGTGCACTTGTGCAGCCACTCAGGAGAAACTCAAATACCACCCAGCTGATCAGCAGAGCGCCTTTGTGTTTCTATTGGTGGTGCACATTCGCACATGCTGTGGCGCACATAAAATTTATTCTGCACACGGAAGGAAAAGAGTAGGGGGAACACTGGTGGTAACCCCGTCACAGGATTAGAACTGCTCTTGCAGGATTACAGATCCAGGAACCATTACTTTAACACATTTGCCATCATTCTTGATGGTTTGATGCCTGATCAGTTATTATCTCAATTATCAAATATTGCAAAAGTAGACAGGTCAATTGCACCTTGATTTGGAAGTACCCCTGCCCTCTTCTTATTGCAGCGATCCATATGGGCTTGGCTTTTCAAGGAACTAGTGATTAGGGGGAACTCTGGGTTTGGGTACCTGGCTTGAGAGGATTTAAAGATGCCTGATCTTCTGACAGCGCAGAGCCCCTGCCGTCTTAAAATCAAGCCCCTTTGAAAGACCGCAAGGTGTGCATCCTTCCATATTACCCAAAATGGAGGCCTCTGAAATCACTAGCTGCTTTGGAAACCGTACTATTTGTATGTGTGCGACATTAGCC